AAGGACATCTTCTTAATCACTTCTGTTGAGCCACAGATGGAAAGTTCTAGGGCTTGTGTGCTCCACTTCCCCCACTTCTGCTTCTCCAAGTTCCAGTTGGCTGTGTCCCAGAACAAGGATAGGAGGTTGGAGCGGGTAAGAGCAGGGTTGGGGTGGGGGGCTGGCCTACTGGCCAACTCACTCCTGCATCCAGAAAGCTTGCTGAAGAGCTGGGACAATAGGTAAGGGGCACCTGGGTAAGGAGACTCCAATGATGGAGTCCACCTGGTCCTGCAAGCCCCCCCCCCCACCTCAGTTTACCCATTTGTACAAAGGCAACAGGAGTCCCTGCTCTGTTTACTGATGGTGAGGCTGTGATGAGGTCATCAAAGGAAAGCACTTGTTTTTAATCTCAAAGGGTAGTTATCTCTGCTATTCAGCCCACAGGCATCCCTACCTGCTCTTCCTCAGAGCCTTGTAAGGTAAACCCCAGGGAGGCGTGCTCCAGGCAGAAACCATCCCTGTTTGGTTGGTGTGTGTGCCTGAGTGGGGAAAGGTGTGGGGGAGGGGGGGAGGGTGCTGGGAACCTGGGGAAGGCCTCCTGTATTACTGAGCACCTTGAGCCTTAATTGAGCACCTACTATGTGTCAACCTTATGTGGAGTTTTCTGAGGTTAAATAAGGCATTGCTTCTGTCCTCCAGGAGCCCCAGCCTAGTATGAGAGACAGGTGTGTTTATTATCAACCAAATATAAGACATCAATTTCTCCAGCATGTTAGATTGTCCCAGACAGCCCTGTACTTCATCAGGTAGTCAACAAACCCATCTCAAATGCCTCCCATGCACTGAGAGCTCACAGGTGGCTTCAACCCAAATCATGAATGCTGGATGGTTTTCTTGCAGGAAGATAGAGGTCCACACATCTTGTTTGGAATTGGAAACACAGCCTCCCCAGGGTGCCAAATGCAGTGCTGGACAGTGCTGAGGGCTCAGGGACATTTTGGAGCCCTGGGCCCTGAGATTCTCCCTGCCCCATGCTTGGTGGGGAAGACAGACACTCAGTGACCATATGGAGGGTGAGGGGTTCCCTGGACACAGCTGGGATGAGCCCCAGCCACTTTCTCTCACCCCCATAATGCCCATTTCCTCTAGGTCCCCTCAGCTCCCTGCCCTGAACCAGGTCCTTTTAGATTCTGGACCCCTTGTCCTGTTTTTACCTCCACCTTATTTCCAGAGACCCTTTTTCTAAACTGTGTGTGGAGACATCTCAGCCTGCTCGTCCCTGTACCTCTGTGCATAGCCCCAGGTTCAGTGACACTTGAGGTGGAGATTTCTGGCCCTTTCACTGAGGCCCCTCCCCCACTACCCCAGTGTCTCTGGTCAGACCGGATTCCTGGGGTTCTCAGAACAGCTGCATTTCCCCACCTGGTGGTACCTTTGCCCTAGATGTTCTCTCTACTCCGATGGATGTCCTTCTTTACACAGTCCTGCATAGAGATTTCTGTCGTCAGTTCCCTCGGCAGTATGACCCAAGAATTCAGTGCCCCTTCCCTGTTAAGCCCCCTCCCCAGCACCGGGGCCTCCACCCCAATCTGAGTTCTCTTGCCCCTTTGAAGTCTCATGGGACTTTGTACCCCTTCTGGCTTTATCTGACCATCCCTTTGTGTGTCTTCACAGAGTAAACACTCATTTGCTGGGCTGATGTCCCCAGAGTCTGGCCCATGGCGTGCTCTTGGTGACCGCCCCCACCCAGCTCTGGCCAAGCAGGCTCAGCCCCAGCAGGAGCAGAGACCACTGGCTGAAACTTCCATGATGGGGATAGAATTCCTTCTTTCTTTGGTGAAAGGGCATCACCTCCAAGGCCCCCTCCTCTAGCAGGGCTGGAAGCTAGTGGTGGTAGTGAGAGATGGGGAGGGTTGGTGACAAGATTCCTAGCCCCCCAGCTACTCGTTCCTCCAAACTGGACCTCATCAAACCAATGCCGAGACTGCTGGTGAGGCAAATGTATGGATGATGAGAATCTTAATAGTAGCGATTGGGCCAGCGATGAAGGTGATAAGGACGCAACAACAGTCATTTAGTAACAATAGGGGCAGCGATTTGACCTTCCCAGGACTTCATCCTCAGACCATCTTCCTGATGGTTCCCACCCCTGTCTGCCCACCTAAGCCTGGAATGAGGGAGCCCTAGGGTGTGGGGACCCCGATCTTCAGGCCCCCAACCTGGCTGGGTCTAGCTGCCTCCCCTGCCCTGGGCGAGTCCAGGTGCGGGTGTGACTCAGTGTCTGTCTACTGGCTGACCTCAGCATGGGGCTGGGGGCAGGGGGAGAGGGCAGTTTCCTCTGAGATTGTGACTCAAGGGCCCAGGGCTGGGGCTTTAAAGTGCCTTTGTTGGCTGGGGCTCAGGAATCCAGAGAAACTGGTCACGGGGAGGCCCCAGGGACTGAAACCCCTCCCTCTTCCCCGCCCCCTCCAAGAGCCATAAAACCGACCTAAGCTCTAGCTTGAGAGCCAGTGGCAGCTGTCGGCAGGAAGGAACCAGTTTGGTCACACTCATTGGACTTGTGTTGCTGATTATTGGGAGAGAGACACTTGGTGGCTGCTCCAACTGGATTTGTCTCGGGACTCGCAGTGAAAAGCCTCCTGTGGACACTGAGTGTCCATCCTCAGCACTTGGATTTCTACAGCCCCCAGGCCCGGATCTCTGAAGCCTTCCAGATTTTGGACCCCAGCAGACGCCAAGCCATGGCTTCCATGGGGCTACAGGTGATGGGCATTGCACTGGCCGTGCTGGGCTGGCTGGGCGCCATACTGAGCTGCGCACTACCCATGTGGCGCGTGACGGCCTTCATCGGCAGCAACATCGTTACGTCGCAGACCATCTGGGAGGGCCTGTGGATGAACTGCGTGGTGCAGAGCACTGGCCAGATGCAGTGCAAGGTGTACGACTCCATGCTGGCGCTGCCGCAGGACTTGCAGGCGGCCCGTGCCCTCATCGTCGTCTGCATCATCCTGGCTGTGCTGGGCGTGCTGCTGTCCGTGGTGGGTGGCAAGTGCACCAACTGCCTGGAGGATGAGAGCGCCAAAGCCAAGACCATGATTGTGGCGGGCGTGGTGTTCCTGCTGGCCGGACTGCTGGTGATGGTTCCGGTGTCCTGGACGGCCAACACCATCATCCGCGACTTCTACAACCCGCTTGTGGCCTCTGGCCAAAAGCGGGAGATTGGCGCCTCACTCTATGTGGGCTGGGCTGCCGCAGGCCTGATGATGCTTGGTGGGGCCCTGCTCTGCTGCAACTGCCCACCCCGCACCGACAAGCCCTACTCCGCCAAGTACTCCGCCGCTCGCTCCGCCCCCGCCAGCAACTACGTGTAAGGTGCAGCTACTCAGCTCTGCAGGTCAGCTTTGTTTCTCCCTGAACTGAGCTCCGTGTGGCCTGCCGGGGACAGGGCCAACAGGAACTTAGCCAGGCTGATGACCGGCAGCTCTCAGCCCTTTCTGGCCCTCTTGGACACCTTCCCAAGGCCTCCTCTACACTAGCAAGGATGAACTGAGAATTCTGAGTCACCCTCCTCTGAATGGCCCCTGAATACAGGGGAGGGGGTGGCAGCAATAGGGAGTGGCAGTGGAGTGGGGAGCTGGTTCTTGCTGGCCAGGACAGCTCAGCCTTGACTCTGCTTGGGCTCTGCCTCTGAGTGGATGCCCTGCCCATGTCCGTGTTGCCACTGTCCCCTCCTTTGATCTTCTCCACTCCCTCTGCCTGCATCCTGTAGAAACCTGTGGCACTGAGAATGGCTGGGGACTTTCACCTACCTGCCTGTGGAGCCCAGAGTTGACAGACAGGTTTAGAAGGGAGGGGTGAAGGTTTTACAAACTGGTTTGGGAGTGATGAGGCAGGGGGCCATAGAGGTGGCCCTGACTACCTGCACCCCTTCCCGCCTGCCCTGCAGCCTCAGTACCACAAGTTCCCGGGGCCCCTCAAGACTGGCCACTTCTGGGTCAGCAGTTCTCGTGAAGGCCGTTGGTCAGCCTGGGGAGCCAGGAGGAATGGTCTTTCTCTGGCCTTTATCCCAGGAAGTCCTGGAACTTTTCCCCGCCGTCGCTGTGGCTTCTGTTTTGTAATTTAAGATCTATTTGTCACTGTAATTACTATTATTTTCTACAATAAATGGGACCTGTGCACAGGAACTCTGTATGTTTTTGATTTCAGCTGTGGAGGTGGGCAGGCCCGGGCAGGAGGCCTGGGCAGGGTGTCAGTGCAGGGCAGGACCACTGTGTCGTGGCCAGGACGGGAAACACTTCAACTGGTTTCGGGGAATTGTGAAAAAATCGGGACAGGCCCAACCTTTGGAAACACCTTGTTCAAGCCCTTCATCTGTTAGAGGGTGAAGCCCACACACAGGAAACTGTGTCCCCAGAACCCTGAATTGTTGGTGATTCCAGCAGTGAGGTCAGATGAGAACACCCAGCCCTGGGGGATGGGCCATCTGTTGTCTCCCCATCTTTTTCTGGGCATCCAGGCTAGTCTTGCTCACCCTCCAGGTCCCCACTTCCTGTCCTGTGCTCAGGCTATCCCTGCCCTTGGTCTGGAATGTCCTTTTCTCTTTCTCCACCCCTCTGAATCCTGCTTATCCTGAAGGCCCGGCTCCGAACCGCCTCCCCTTTGAAGCCTTCCCACGTCCCATTTGGAGGAAATTATCACCAGCCCTGTTCCTGGGGCAGCCTCCAAGCCACACCCTGAGATCCATGTTCTGATCCCTTTAGAGAAGAGGAAACCAAGTTCTGGATATGTGAAAGTGTTGGGCCAAGGCCCAGATTCGGAAGTGTGGGTTTTCTGGTCGGTAAGTTACAGGTGAAAGGACCCACCATCCTGGAAGGAGTCATAAAGTCACATTTATGGCCCTATCATGCCTGGATCAGGGACAACCCAGGGTGGGGGCCCTCTCTGTCCTGCCTTTTCTCATTTCTACCCTCCACAGGGAGGTCACTCTTTCCTGGGGTGAGAGAGCTACAGAGCCAGAGTTCTGTCGCCCCTTCTGGGACTCATTTAATAGGCAGAGCTCTCCTGAGGGGCAGGATTGGCACAGTGGCCCCGTTTTACAGATGAAGTACAGAGGGCCCAAGGACAGACCTGGCTGCGGCCACGTGGCGGGTCAGAGACCAGTCAGGGGCTGAGCACTGGGCCTCACTTCCTCAACCTGGGCCACCTCTTGCTTTCGGTATAGGTAGACGATGCCGGAGATGAAGCCATCACTGTCGGAAGTGTCAGGCACCTCGAGCTTAGAGGTGGCCAGTTCCCATCGGTCCACAGGCCAGGCCACCAGGCGTTCCCACTCCCTCGCCTGCTCCAGCCTGTTCAGGACGGCCTCCAGTTCCTCCTTGTATCGAAGGTTGGATGGGTTGGTTCTGGTGGTCAGACACACCAGACCACCTAAGGAGAGGAGAGGAGGGGAGGGGAGGGGAAAGGGAGTTGAGTGAGGGAGGGTAAGAACCAAAGTTCCAGGTTCCAGGCCTGCCCCTGCCTGGGAAGGTAGTCCTCTTTCCTTCAGGCTCATGTCCTCAAGGACATAAGCTCTCCCAGCTTTGTCCCCAGTCCAGCCTTTTCCCATCTCTAATCCTTTAGCGCTCCCTCTTCCTGCCCCCAGGAATACCCTCTGCTTCCTCAGCTTCAGGGGGCCTCCGATGTACCCTTTAAGGCCCAAGTAGCCTTTAAACTGGGAATTCTTACTTTCCTAGGCAGAGGTGGCTCTCTCCTTACTGCTCACCCAGCCCTTCTGCTGGAGGCTATGGTTGTGTCTGGATGCACAGGAAAGAAGCCTGTGGGCTTTGGACATTGGACAAGTCCCTTCACCTCTGAGTCTCAGTTTCCCAGCTTGCAGAGTAGAGTTGATTATTTACCCTGTCTCACAGGAAGGCCGTGCAGTCAATGAAGCACTGGCTTGAATGACCTCATCCCTTCAAGTCTTCTCCAGGCACCTATAGTATGCCTAGTATGGACTCAGATACACTTAGGAGACTGCTCTCTGGAAGGCTTCCTGGAGGAAGGGGTAAGGAGAAGCAGGGCCCTGCTGGTGGAGGGGGGCTCCATGAGAGGAAAGGCTCTGAAGTAGGGGAGCCTGTGACATGTGGGCAGGCAGACAGAGCTCTGGTCAGCTGAGGGGCCTGGAATTACAGGCTGGGCTAGGAGGCCTGGTCCTTACTGATTGAAGCGATGGCAGTTTCCTGTCCTGAGCCCAATCACTACCTCTCCCTCTGACCCACCAATGTCCCTGCATCTGTCAGCCTCCTGCCAGAAGCCTGCCTGCCCAGACCTGCCCGGGCTCAGCCACAGCCCCTAATGGGCCCTGTTGGGGTTAGTGAGGCAGGGAGAAAATGTGATCTTGCCTGGATAGGGGCACCTTTGGGGCTTCCTGATCCTGTCCTCACGCTCCACTACTTCTTCCTTCTGCCTGTGACTTCACTTAGGCTGTGTCCTTGTGTGAACTGTCCTCACCCCCATTCCAGCCCTGGGAACTTCTCTTCTCTGAAGTCTCGGAGCACTGAGCACTTATGGCTCTCAGGGGCCTACCTTGGGACTGGTCTTTTTCCCCCGGTCCCTTCCTGGGACACAGTGGGCTGGTGATCAAGGCCAGAGGGCAGGTTGTGTACCTTCTCCCTAGAGCAGAGGCAGGTACAGGGCAAGGCACACAGTAGGATCTCAATAATCAGCTCCATTTCACAGATGGGGAAACTGAGACCAGGAAAAAGAGACTCACCTACTAGCTGTCCATGAGTTAGTGAGGAAGCTGGAGGAAGAGGGAACTGAACTGAGCCCCTACTAGGTGCCAGGACTGAAGCAAAGGCCTTAGAGACATTATTTCACCCAGTGTGACCCAAGTAAGGGACAGGACCCTCAGGAGTTCTGAGGCCTGTGTTTGTGGGGGTGGAGCAGGGAAGGTGTGTGTAAGATTGGACGATGGGTTACTTCTCACCTGGCTTGGTAACTCGCAGGAGCTCAGGTATCGCACTGCAGGGCACCTGGCCATCACTGAGGGCACCCACCATTAGCACTGCATCAAAGGTCCCTGTGTGGGGTGTGTGGATGTGTTGTGGTAGTTTGTCTTCGGTGTTGCCTCAGAACACCCTGGAGGATGGTACCCATGGTAGGGCCTGGGGAGGGACCAGGCCAACCACTAGTGTCTGTAGGACCCAGGTCCTGTGGGGAACATGGCAGGTATGGCCCAATCCTGGGCTGAGGCCAGATCATGGGATGGAAGGAAGGCTCAGAGAAAGGGGCTCAGTGAGGCACTGGGGGGGCTCAGAAGGGATCAGCAAGAGGGATGGAGACTTGACAAAAAAGGGGCACTGTCAAGGTGCACTTGGTCAGAGGGTGGGCCTCGGGGTGTTGGGGTAGGAGGGGGAAGTACCTTTGGGGCTGGGCAAAGGCTCCTGGCCCAGGGTGCAGAGGCTGAGGCGCTGGTAAAGGCCACGGGCCCGGGCCTGTTCCAACATCCCTGGGCTCCCATCCACCCCATGCAGCTGGAGGAAGCCCCGAGCCTGCAGCTGGGGTGGGAGAACTCAGTCACAGTTCATACCTGCCACCTCCCAGCTGGGTCCCTGCACCTCAGGGAGGGCAGTGGGCCCTGCAATGGATGTAGCCCAAGTATTTGGAACCAGTGAGTCTGAGGGGAGAGGCAGAGTTCTTGGGCCAGGGGTGACATGAAATTTGAGCAAGTAGGGGACTGAAGAGAGGGCAAGGGATCCGAAAGGGCCTCACCTCAGCAGCCACCAGGCCAGTGCCACAGGCCACGTCCAGGATCAGGGTGGCGTGGGGTGGGCCTGATAGGGCTTGGGTAAGGCAGTCCACTGCGAGGCGGGGGGCGCTGTACTGCAGGATGGCCACATCCTGGGGACAGAATGCTGAGTCAACCATCACCCCATGTCCCAATGTTTGGGGGACCTCTGTATGGGGTGACCTAGGAGTCTGCCAGGCCAAGCTGTGTGTGTGTGTGTGTGTGTGTGTGTGTGTGTGTTGGCAGCCTGGGGCCTGCTAGGACTACAGTGAGAGGAGACCCAGGCATGAGGTGCTGTCTTCTGCCAAAGTGCCAGGACTGGAAAATCAGCCTGCAGCCTACTGCCGGGATTTGCTCTCCTGGCCAAGGCAGTGCTCTCTGCTTAGTCCATAGTGACCCCCACCTCAGTGGCACATCCTCCAGACAGCCCTTCTGCCTGGACTGCAGTCCCAGAGTGGGGAGGTCTTGGCCCCTGATCTCTAGGGGCTGCCACTGTGGAGTGATGAGGCTGGTCAGAAGGCAAGGCTGCTGTGGGTAAGCAGAAGAGGGGCCAGGACTGTAAGGCTGCGCCCACGTCTCATTTCATTCTCACAAGCCGCCTTGGGATGCAAGGCTATCTATTCCCACTGTACAGATAGGAAAATTGAGTCTGGGTGAGCGATGGAGGTGGAGGCAAGGACTCCTGCGGGTTTACCTGGTCATAGTCCGGAGCCCAGCGGTCATAGAAGTGCAGCTTGTGGGCCAGGTCAGTGATGCCGTGAGAGGCTCCGACCCGCCCCCGCACCTCGTGCAGGCTCCAGTCCTCCTTCTGAGCCATCCTGCGGCGACATGGCCTCCATGTCCTGACACATCTCAATCCCCAACCACACCTCTCCCACCCGCCATGCCCAGGAGAAGCTGTCAGGAAGCGACCTCTCCAGGTCACCGGGGCAATCCCATTTCACAGGCGGGGACACTGAGCAGAGAAATGGAAAGACTGGACACCTGGAGTTCAGGAGTGGCAAAGGGGTGTTCCCGCGGGGAGGGCCTGCCCCCACATTCTCACCCCCTGCCCTGGTGAGCGGGCTTCCAGCGCGCGAAGATTTCTACCGCGGTAGAGAGGGGTTGTCAGAACTCACCCGCTGCGGGTAGGTGACCTCAGGAACTCGGGGTGGGGCCTGAACGGCGAGCCTGGCCCCGTCCCAACCGCCCTTGATGATTGGCTTCTTCTAAGGAAAATTACCCAATAAAAGGAAAGCACTGGCAACCCGCCTCCTTCACCAGCCAATGAGCTCAAAGTTCTTGTCCCTCCTCCAGCCTGGGAAGATCGAGAATGTTTTGAGACGTTGTCCTCCCAGTATCCAGGTGTATCAGGTGTCTCTGCGCCCTCCCGTCTCCTGATGTCCTTTATGCGTTCTAAAACATGAGCTTTTAGCCAGTGGGAGCTTCTGAATTCTTATGGATAAGAGCGGGAGCTAGGCTCAGCCTTCGTTTTTGAAACTTTCACCAAGGCCTAGGCAACACTGTCCAGTAGAACTTTCTGAGGTGATAAAAATGTTCTATAGGGGTCTGGCCAGTTAGCTCAGTTGGTTGGAGCACAATGCTCATAACACCAAGGTTGCCGGTTTGATCCCCACATGGGCCACCGAGATGCACCCTCCACAACTAGATTGAAACAACTATTTGACTTGGAGCTGATGGGTCCTGGAAAAACACACTGT